AGACCCCAACCACACATACAAGGTTCCACATCTCATTGTTGGAATTATAGAGCCATGGACTCAAAGCTAGATCCAAGGTGTAGTGGCTACTGCATGGGGACTGCAATACAATATAATTGTATAACAAATATTTTATGAAGTGAACCCAACCTGAAAGTTACAGTATGTTGCATGTCGAGCCACTGGAATTACGAAGGGAAGGCAAGCAACATTTAAATTGACAAACCCTCACTCCAAGCTGAAGAAGCATAAAATGCAACAAACCTAATTTGGGAATCTGTGATGATTCTTTACTGGGATTGTAGATGTCCAACTTGGTTGTAGTTGGCTCCTATCTGCACTTTGCCTTAGCAATGGAGTCCCACCACTATTGGCATTTGTGGTGTACAAGGGTCATGTACTGCAGTTCCGAGTTTTTATCCTTCAGTCTCACATAGGCTTAACATGGGTTCTGCTGTATTGTACGAGTTTTCTCCTCCCCTTAATTCCATCATATTGTGCACACACCATTTCATGGGGGACTGGTTACAGCTGGCTACGTCTCGTCAATAGTTAGACTATCACATCCTACTTCTACTTTCAGATACAACCCAGGCAGGATTCTTTTTCGGGACTGCAACATCTATTCTTGCTCCAATTCAATATGTCATTAGTCTGTGTATTTTATTTTTCATCTCATCTATCAGTTGAGCTCAGCTGTCATCCATTCTGCTCAATGCTATAAAATAGGATGCTACATTACTTCTCTCTACTCCTCCCACTGCATGGATGGTTCTTTCTCTTCTTATCACCCTTCTAGCTTGCCATGTTCCATGAGTGATGCCTGTGGTAGTAGGTCCTTTGTCTCAATCCAAACAGATCTTCCTGACAGAATAGATGTTACATCACAAGGTTCAGTTGGATTTCCTATCATTTTACAGCTCAAATTGGTTGGTTGGCCTCTCTTTGGATCATCCAACTACTGGAAGTTTGGTTTCCAGTACCTCATCTTTGGGCCTTAGCAATAGATGCTTTCCATCTGGACAGGATGGGATTACCACTCTCAACCTTTCAACCTTCTCTTCACTTCATATGTTACCCAGGGTACAAAATATGATTTGTTCCAACCTATTGTCAGATCCTGTTGATCACACCAGATTGGCGGATACACCTGGGTTTCTGCGGCATTGGGGTTTAACTTCTAAGGTTGACATCTATCTGGTTCAGTTTTTGCTTTGTCCGAAAGTCACTTTTCTCAAAGATAATGACATGCATATCAGCAATGTTATTTTGCGAGGAGGTTTAACCCTTTTCAGTCAGTGGTGTCAACTTGGCTCTTTGACAGAGGCTTTTGCATTTTCCACAACTGCCATTGTTTATGGCAGCCTTATTGAATACCATTCGATTATCGCAACTACATAATTTGAATCCCCAGTATTCTCAGATTACTCACATTGTTTGAGAATGGTATATTTGGATATATTTAGGTTATGTGTTCTTTCTCTACACCTGTTTGTGAACTGACTATTATTTGCCATGCATCCCTTTTACCTGCAAATTTATTTCTTGTGGGGACAGTTTGTCCACAGACCACTTTCTAATTTTCTCTACATCATCAGACCAATTCTTCTTACACAACACTCAATCCTTTTCACCGATTCATCTTCTCCAGGTATATTCAGGTTACGTGTTCTTTCTCTGTACATATTTGTGACCTGACTCTTATATACCATGTATCCCCTTTACCTATGGGTTTATTTTTTGCTGCTCACTTTTCTCACTATGTCCCATCACATTTTGATCTTGAGCATATTTAGTAAGGGTCTTGAAGGTTTTGTTGCCAGCACTTATACCTTTAGAGATACTAGACAGAACTTTATTCTGAGCTCTTTTTGAAGGCGAGATATTTTCTGTGAGTCACATCTAATTAGATTACTCTTTTCTATGTTCTTAGCAGCCCGGTTGAATTGCTTGCTTGAGGTCACTTTGTGGACTGGTATATAGACCTCCCCAATACCTTTATCTCACATTATTTTTCTGATCTGTTAGTCTCTTCATTAGGTTTTTGTGTAACCCCTGTAGCTATCTTAACTATTTCTACTAGATTATTCAGAGGGATGAGTATGTTTATCTCTACCTTTTAGGGTCCGTTACCTTGTTTTCACAGGACCTCACTCTGTGGCGAGTGTTGTCCAGACAGGTGTGCTTTTATCACACCAATTCCACACTAGCAATCACTATTTCACTGTAATTACTACCAGTCGCAACAGGCTCTGAAGAAATGAGATGTTTCATGAGACCACCTAAAAGCTCACCAGGTGGTATTACCATACTATGTTGGACTCCCACTTTTGGACTGTCATGAGTAAAGCTAATGTTGTGGTCCAGTTGCCCCAGCCATCAATGTGGGATATTGAGACCAAAACCTCTCAATTCCAACCCAGAGTAGTGGAACCTCATCTATCTGGTGGGGGCTGGCCTATAGTTATGAATACTCGTGTACAATTCCACCCTCGATACAGAAACTAAGTTCAGGGTGAAGAGCATACCTCTTCTGGATGTAGTGTGGTTCCCCCACTCGGGTATTACCCATGATCTATGCAGATGCTTTCTGTATGGGTAATACCCTCACTGGTCCCTCCACCTTCCAATAATACTTACCTCCTCTGAAACTCTCCCAACCTTCCTCACCACTAAGAGCCTATGTTAGAGACTGGGGTGGTATCAGTCTCAAAAAATTGATAAAATTATCTGAATCAGGTGCTAATATACAGTACCAGGATAGAGGGTGCATTGATGTAGGTGGAAATTATCACAAGGCAAATATTACCAAGGGCAATTGAGTGGGGTTTAAAAGACTGGAGTAAGCGAGAAAAAATCAGACCAATGCTAGAAGAAACCCTGGCAGTCGAGTAATAGCTTGAAGTGTGAGAGGAGATAAGTATGATTGGAAATACATCTTCAGTTTAGGAAAATGTTAACATTCTGTATAAACAGGTGACCTTTCAGCATGGTGGTTCCCTTGTGGTATTGCCAGATCAACAATCCACAATGTGATGTGGTCCAAAAGCTAAATAAAAAAAAAAAGACATTTGAAACATTAAAACATTTACTTTATATTAAATCTGAAACAGAGGGTTATTTTCTGTATGGTGATATTACAGGGCATTTTTAGAAATGACAGGCCATCATAATCAAGAAAAAAGATGACAACAATGTTTTGACATGAACAATAACTTGTACGTATAAACTTAAACGGAGGAAAAATATATGCTAAAGACTACATTTTTAGATGGAATACACTCCACCATCTTCAGGAGACAAAGAAGACACGTAAAGTTTTTTTTATATACACAGTACATGGAAATGTACAATCATCTTGTACATTTACTGTGTATATAAATGAACTTTATGTATCTTCATTGTCTCCTGAAGATGGTGAAGTGTATCCTACCAAAGAATGTAGAGTTTTTAGCAGATATTTTTCTGATTTTAACTTCATATAAATTAAGTATATGTGCAATTTGACTAATTTTTTGAGTGACAAATTGCATACTCAGCTCTGCCCTTGGTGAAAGCATGACAGATCTGGTAAGTCTACAAGTAAAAGTGAACTCTCAGTCCATAATGGGCTTTCTGTATGAAGCTCTTGTAATGCACTTTAAATGTCTTACCTTAAAAGTTTTGCACATTAATTTATGGAGCTTTCTTTCCTCTGTCTTTTTTCTCTTGAAAATGTGGAAAACACTCCAAAGTTTGCTAAAAATGAGCAAAATCTCTATGAGCATATTTAGTAGCATTCATTCTCCATAAAAATTGTTGTGAGACAGAGAAAATAGATGGGAAATGAGGTGTAGCAGTAAAGTGGAGAACCTTGGCAGAAATGGCAAAGCAGTTGTTTCACTTTATGCTCAAAGCAGCCCATTTCACAGTAGAGATGTAGTCAAGATTTCTACTGTCTGAATTTGGTACATTTAATGCATTAAATTTAATAATAAACTTGAATTTTGCTTCTATGGAAAACTATATTCTACATTAAGATGTATCCAAAAAATATTTTTATTACGAAATACTTCTCTAATTCAGGCTTAAGTGCTTATTCTAAATATAGTAGATCCTGGAAGTTAAATGATGTGAATAAGAAAAGTGTGGGAAGCTTAAACAGCAGCAATATTTTATTCTTTGCATTATAGCCAGATATTTTATAACTGTATAGTTTCATTATTATGGGAAACAAGCCAAAATGCTGAAAATTTTATTTGCAATCTTTGACTTGTAGAATTTTGTTGTGGTGTGAGTTTTGTTCAAACTCAACTATTTATAATAGTTACTGTAGTAATGATATAGGGGTTATTTTATAAAATATTTTTATTTTTCAATATATGGGAAAGTTTATTATGAAATTGGTTTCCTTTTGAACTACTAAGTTAGCATGCCAAGTTTGGTTTAAGTCAGTCAACTTGTTTAGAAAGAGATGCATTCACAGGGAGAAAGTTTTCCTTGATACTGAATACTTGCTGCACGAGTATGTCTTAATATGTATAACTCATATGTGAAGAGTGCTTGTGCCCCAATTTTTATACTCATGTCTGTCTTGCTTCTCTTACCAGAGCTTGATAAATTAATTATTGTGCATATCAAAATGTTGGTGTTGTTATCTTATTTTCTATAGAAACTTTGCACAAGAGTTGTCAGTTTAATGTGTTGATCATGATCAAGTATGTTGTTAGTTCCAAAAACTGCACAATACTTAGGATGAAAAAATTAAACATTAGACATGTGGACTGCAATATGATATACCATTAAATTAATATTAATCTATTTCTTTTGGTGAAGTTAGAGTTGATATTTTGCTTACTTGACATACACCATATTATCAAAAGTCTTAGAACATCGAAGCTAGTAATGACCTGATCCCAACTATACTTTACACTTGCACAACTTTCAAAGAAGTAAAGAGCTATTTTTTTTTAAGTACATGTTTAATACTTCTAAAAAAAAGTTGTATATTTTTGTTTTAGGAGCAGGTGAAAATCTATTGTGAGTTATGTAACAAGTTGATATGTGGAGACTGTCAGTTATTGGATCATAAGGACCACAAATATCAGTTTCTTGCTACCGCTTACGAACAACATAAAGCCCATCTTAATGACCTTTTGTCCAAGATTCAGGAGAAACATAAATACGTCAGAAAAGGAATTGAATTAATTGGGAAAAGAGAAAAAGATGTGAATGACAGAGAGCATCAAGTAGCTCAGGAGATCAAGTTGTTTGTAATTAGGCAAGTAGTGAATGTTATCTGTGTATATATGTTACTTATTATTATTGTATTCACATATCAATTAAATACATGAAATCTAAAGTCTGATAATACAATGTTCCAAAACATACTTACCTCCCACTTGTAGCTGTTACTCCACTTCTTTGCCTATCTAAGTCTGATCTTTTCTTGGTCTTACTCACTTCTCCATCTCCCACTGCACAGATGTTTATCTTCTGGGCATCATTTGAATTCTTCGTGTCTTTGGGACAAGAAAACAAGCGATTCTTTTAATGGTCTTTAAGCAACCAGGAATCATACTTGTCTATTTCCTGGTTTCCTCAGTTTCGTTAGTTGGCATCATTTTTCGATCTTAAAGGTTTAAGTTGGAATGCTTCTACAAATTGGGTTCTCTGCTGCTGCCTTGTACAGAGTTCCATTCTCCTTATGAATGACTTGCTTTAGGGATTGGGTACATATACCAACAGTCGGGAATTACAGAGTATGCAGGGTGAACAAGGATTTCCCACACAATGTTTTAGTCCTTTTTTCTCTTCAACAGGCAAGGACTCATGGTCTGGGCTTCTTAAGGGATACATCATCAGGCTTCATTCTGACTATTCTGCTGTGGTGTCTTATGCTGCTCATCAAGGAGGCATGTGGTCTAGGACTTCTTATTTTAGAATTTTGGACCTCCTTTCTCGGAACTAGTCTTATCTTGTCACCCTTCTAACTTGTCATGTTGCATGAGTGATGCCTGTGGTAGCAGGTCCATTGTCTCAATCTAAACAGATTTTCCTGACAGAATAGATGTTACATCACAAGGTTCAGTTGGATTTCCTAACATTTTGCAGCTCAAATTGGTGGGTTGACCTTTCTTTGGATCACCCAACTACTGGCAGTTTGGTCTTCAGTACCTCATCTTTGGGCCTTAGCAATAGATGCTTTCCATCTGGACAGGATGGGGTTACCACTCTCAACCTTTTCTCCATTTCATATGTTACCCAGGGTACAAAATATGATTTGTTCCAACCTATTGTCTGATCCTGTTGATCACACCAGATTGGTGGATACACCCAGGTTTCTGTGGCATTGGGGTTTAACTTCTGAGGTTGACATGTATCTGGTTCAGTTTCTGCTTTGTCCGAAAGTCACGTTTCTCAAAGATAATGACATGCATATCAGCAATGTTATTTTGCAAGGAGGTTTAACCCTTTTCAATCAGTGGTGTCAACTTGGCTCTTGGACAGAGGTTTTTGCATTTTCCACAATTGCCATTGTTTATAGCAGCCTTATTGAATACCGTTCGATTATCACAACTACATACTTTTGAGTCTCCAATATTCTCCAGATTCTTCCCATCATTGTGGGAGCATTCCAGTTGCCTAACAGGTATATTCAGGTTATGTGTTCTTTCTCTGTACATATTTGTGACCTGACTCTTATATACCATGTATCCCCTTTACCTATGGGTTTATTTTTTGCTGCTCACTATGTCCAATCAGGTTTTGATCTTGGTCATATTCGGTGAGGGTCCTGAAGGTTTTGTTGCCAGCAGTTATACCTTTAGAGATACTAGGCAACACTTTATCCTGGGCTCTTTTTTGAAGGCGAGGTATCTTCTGTGAGTCACATCTAATCAGATTTCTCTTTTCTGTGTCTTTAGCAGCCCAGTTGAATTGCCTGCTTGAGGTCACTATGTGGACTGGTATATAGACCTCCCCAATACCTTTATCTCACATTATTTTTCTGATCTGTTAGTCTCTTCATTAGGTTTTTGCATAATCCCTGTAGCTATCTTAACTATTTCTACTAGATTATCCAGAGGGGTGAGTATGTTTAACTCTATCTTTCAGGGTCTGTTACCTTGTTTTCACAGGACCCCACTCTGTGGCGAGTGTTGTCCAGACAGGTGTGCTTTTATCACACCAATTCCACACTAGCAATCACTATTTCACTGTAATTACTACCAGTCGCAACAGGCTTTGTAGAAATGAGATGTTTCATGAGACCACCTAAGACCTCACCAGGTGGTATTATCATACTATGCTGGACTGCCACTTTTGGACTATCATGAGTAAAGCTAAAGGGGATCTTGCCAGTCCCTGCCAATCATCAGATTAAATAAGTCCGGCTCAGTTTGCTTTTAAAAATTTAGGGAACTTGGTTCACCTATTGCACTGTTTCTAGAGCACTTTTCCTCAGGACTCCCCAATGTGCATTATCCCCCAGATTCTACTAGTGAAGCTAGAGAGTCCTTACTACACCTGGTTTCCAGTCACTGGGGTGGTGGACAGAGACTTTTGATCCAGAGTGTTAGAGTGAATTATTCCATTCTTGGAGAAGAGGGCCCTCCTACTCGGATCCCTGGATGTTTTTTCACAGATGTAGGTAGGAGCAGCACCAGCCTATATGGGAACTTACTTGTAATACCGGTTGAGATTTAATGCTCAGCCATCTGGTTGGGGTGTGCATGGCCCTTATTTTTGAACAATATTGGTTCAGTATATTCTTTATGGAAGGAATTCCACTATCTCCTCATGATTCCAAATAGAGTGGCCTCATCCTGGGTCCTTGGTTGAGCACAGTTGTTCCACATCCTCCCCAGAATTCCAGAGGGAAGTGGAAGGCTCCTTGCCCACTCGGTTGGGGAGTGAGGATGAATGTTCATTATTCCAGACTGAATGAGTTTTGTTTTTTTGGTTTAGTAAAGCATACACGATCTCGTCATTCAAGCCTGCAGTGTTGCGTTTCGGGCTTCTTTATGGTAAGAGAAGGTTTGTCCGCTTACCTTCTCATCATAATTCTGGTGGTTTGGACTGCATCACACTATGGTTACAGGTTGGGATCCAATGAAAAGTATATCTATATAAAATTTGTGGTCCAATTGTCACAGCCACCAATGTGGGAAATGGAGACCAAAACCCCATAATTCCAACCCAGAGTAGCGGAAGTTCAGAGTGAAGAGCATACCTTTTCTGGATGTAGTGTGGTTCCCCCACTCGGGTACCACTCTTATCTTGGTAAACCCATGATCTATGCAAATATTTTTTGTATGGGTAATGCCTTCACTGGTCCCTCCACCTTCTCAATGTGGGATTCTAGCTATAAGTGGCACCGTAGGTAAGTATATTTTGGAAGTTAACCTTTTCCTAAATTGAAAATATATTTTCAAAAATACTTACCTCTGCTGAAACTCTCCCACCCTTCCTCACCACTAAGAGCCTGTGTTAGAGACTGGAATTGTATCAGTCTTGAAAAATGATAAAATTATCTGAATGAGGTGCCTATACTCAGTACCAGGATAGAGGGCACATTGACGTAGATGGAGAGTATCACGAGACAAATATCACCAAGGGCAATTGAGTGGGGTATGAAAGACTGGAGCAAGCGAGAAAATATCAGACTAATGCTTAGATGTTCTGATTTACATGTTCTGTCTGAAGAGTTTGTTAGAGTTAGTTTTATGATAACTATGTTTTACATGTTCTGTCTGAGGAGTTTGTTAGAGTTAGTATTATGATAACTATGACTTACATGTTCTGTCTGAAGAGTTTGTTAGAGTTAGTATTATGATAACTATGATTTACATGTTCTGTCTGATTATTATTTGTTGTTGCTTTGTGTAAAAGATTTGATTTTAAGGAGTTGTATTTTTCAGGAAAACTTTTACAATCCTGGTTTATGTGTTGAATGTGAGAGTGTTGCAATTGTACTTCATGTGTAGAAGAAACTACAATGCTGTATCTTACTTGTATAAACAAATAAAATGATAATGTCCAGTTTGGAGTTTTTTTAGCTGTAGTTTTTATTTCTTTGAGAAAAATGCAGAATCTTCCCAAAATATTTATTGGAACTAAATTGTAAAACCTGAAACTTCTTTTTTGAGGGGGTGATCATTTCACAAATGGCCTACATGCTGACTACTTTAGAGAAGTAGGAAAGATGATATTTAATATGAATAATAACCTAAACAGGTTAAATGCTTGTGGACTTAGGGATTACTACTTACTTCTATCATTGCTTGTATATCAGAACAACTGCAAGCTTGGTTCAAGCCATATTTCTATAAATCAGAATTGACATAAATTATGGCATTTTTAAAATTATTTTGAAATGCGTATTAAGTATATTTTTTGGCATTCAAAGCCCCATTGAAGATGCACAGACAAAAACAAATATGTATCAAATTTTTTGGGTTATTACTTTGTTAATTCTTTTTTTTTTAAACTTTATGTATTATGCTTTGATGCTAGGAAGGTTTCAACAGTAAGGGTAACATGCACTTCTGCTTATGGTTTAGGTAAAGTGTAAATCAAACAATTGGCCAGTTATTTATGTTACATTTCATGATATCTGCTTTCAGGTTCATCAGAAAATTGAGTCAGCGAGGAAAGCTACTTATTGAAGAATTAAATGATGCATGTAACAGTAAGAAACAAGTACTTTCAGTAAAGAATAAAAATCTTGTTGAACTGTCTGAAAAACTTCAGTATTGTATGAACTTCGTTGAAGAAGTAATTAACAGTGGGAGCTGTTTTGCCTTATTGTACAATAGAAAAGCCATGACAGAACAGGTGAGAGTTTTTGGTATAGGTTTCTTCACAGCTATAGCAGTCTGTATGTTCAGTGAGTGTAAAGATTAGTAATTCTTTTCTTGATTTTGCAATACATATGGTAATAACACATCCAAGCTAATTGTTTAAAGGTTTTTGTAAAATTTAGATGAGAAAACTAAACTTTTTAAAGTTGCACGAAGCCTTTATTTGTGAATTTATAAAGTGAAGTATCTTTGAGAGATTGTGTGTGTGTATGCCATTGAAAGACAGAGTTGTTGATTATGTCATTATAAAGAACAGTTAAGAAGTTGTACAAAAATATGTCATTGAAGTAGTTACAAGTATTCCTTATTTCTCTTATCAAGTCATTTAAAGCTATTCCTCATAGTGGTATTTTTTTTTCTCTTCTTTGCTTGATGGAACATGTCTAATCTGAATTGAAAACAATTTTAGTAAAAGTCATTTTCTATCTTGTTAAAAAAAAGGGCTACTAGATGAAGGTGGCTTAATGGAGACATGTATAACAAAGTTAGAGATGAACATAATAGGTTTCAGAAATTTAAACTGATGACCTAGATGGAAAGATTAAGAGGATTACAGAAGAGTTAGGGAATTAGTTAAAAAGAAAATCAGAATATTAAAAAGGTCTTATGAAGAACAGTTGGCATTTAATCTTAGTGCTAAGAGTAACAGTTTCTACAGATACATTAAAAGTAAGCTGAATGTGAGAATTGGAAGTGAACTGGACTTTTGAAGGATGGAGATTTAGTGTTTGTTGATGACTATAAGATTAATGAGCTTTTATAGGATTTTTTCCATTGGTTTTCATCAGGAAGGATATTTGTTGAATTCTTGACCTTAAACATTTGTTTGAAGGAAATGTTTTGGAAGTGTGTGATGTGCATATTAATCTGGAACTTTTTTGTTTAAAAAAAGTAAATTAATGGTTTGAAAACAGATGATGCTCCTAGATCTGATAATATTTAGCCTAAAGTTTTAAGAAAAAGGTTAGGAATAAAATTTCTAAACAGTTCCTTTGATGACTCATAATTTATACTTAGTTCACAGAAATTACTAGCAATATTTGTAACAAAGGGAAGGCTTTGGTTTTTGTATGATTTATCAATGAATTTGGAAGGTTTTTTGGGATGCAGTGGCATAACTTTGGTTGGAAAAGGGGAGATACAATTTCTGTTGTGGGGTATACATGAGAGTATTTTATCAAAAAAAAAGTCACAAACAAGTGTGGGGACATGCCCCCCACATTCCCTGTGAAAATGATGCCGGAATGATAAAAACAAGATGTTTATGCAACAAATTATTAATATTTTCTCTTGTACTTTTAATGAGTGTGAGCAGTTATGGAGAAGAAACATTGTAAAAGAATATGCCACATTTTTTAATTATGTATGCAGGCTTTCAGCTGTATGGTGCAGTACCCAGTCAAAAACTTGTATAGAAAATTAAAAATATGGCTTAATTTTCCTGTGAATATTTTTCCCATAAAACTTTATTCATTTGTATTATGTAACAATATAATTTTTTCTGCATGAAGGACTCTTATGTATAATTAAAAAATACAGTTTTTTGATAACTGGGTGTCTTATAGCAAAGCTTTTTAACTACTTTACAGCTACAGTATGTTCTAAACCAACGCTGTGAAGTTCCAAATCCAAATAATTCAGTAAATATCCAATTTTTATACGAGACTGAGTTTTTCAGTGATTACATAAGCCAACTTGGTTGCCTGATTGTTGATCATAAACCAGTAGAAGGTAAGCCACCTGTAGGAGTTTTAAGAAGTTTGGAGCCTTCACGAGAATCTCATCACTCAAATATCTCGCATGTAAGTAACAGTATTGTTTGTGGAGAAACTGGTGGTGTAGTATAAGTTATGTCTTGACAGATTATATCAATTGTTACATGGCTGTTTGTGGTATGCAGTGCACATGTGGTTATGTCTTGATTTGCTGTTGTCAAGTCATCATTTCTGATGCTTGGAATACTAAGTTTGTTGTTATAGGTAATAGCCATAGCTTATCAGGAACTTGAAACTAGGTTACTAAACAGTCGTCAAGTCAATTTGTGAACTGGCAACGTCTTGGATGCAGCAGACGTAAAAGACATGGTGGATATACTGATATCCCATTCACAACATTTTTGCTAGTATCATTTTCTAAGTGGAAATCAAATGGTTTCATTTAACTCATGAAGATGTACAAATGGATTTTCACCTCCTTTATTTTGTGCCAAAACACATTCTTACACAAGAGATGTTATAGCATGTTGATATTTTGATTAGATCACAGTTGTGGTTGATTTCCATTCATTATTTCTGTATTTAATAAATACACAAAATTAGCTAGGCTCTTGTAATGTTATGTTACCAGTAATATTTTGTAAAGAAAAATTACAAGTCCTGAGATGTGGAATTTATCATAAAATCTTTTTATTCAAAGGATAAAATGTTAAAAAAAATCTACACACACACAAAAAAATTAGAACATAGCTTTTAAGATTTTGCTTTTATTCAACAGTGAACACTATCAATACAATGCCATTTCGTCAGGAGTGGTGTATACTGCATATTGCATCTAAGCTCTGCATATATTCATTCACTTTATTTTATGGTTTCTAACATGTAGTCATTGGTATTTTACAGTGCAGAATAAAATGGTTCTTAATATATAAACTTTTTTGTAATTTTTATTATGCTATACATTCTTCCTGCAGCTGGCCATCAAACTCAACTATCAATGTATACAAAATCAATTTAGTACTATCCTTGCAGTAATATAAATGTTTGTTACTGTGTGTGTGACTGAAGGTTTGTGAACTTAGTACTATCCTTGCAGTAATATAAATGTTTGTTACTGTGTGTGTGACTGAAGGTTTGTGAATTTAGTACTATCCTTGCAGTAATATAAATGTTTGTTACTGTATGTGTGACTGAAGGTTTGTGAATTAAAGCAATATGCATATTTGTGTATATATTTTGGGTTTGAGGTTTAAAGATTTGTTTGTATGTAATAGATTTTGGCAGCAATGAATTTTCAAGTATTTGTGTGGCACCCTAGAAATATATCTGGAGTATTTCTCTAGCAATAGAATGAACAATATGTAAAAAAAAAAATAGTATGATAGTAAAACGTTTTGTTCGGGGCTATAATCTTCACACCCCCAAAGTCAAAAGAAATCTTATTTCATTATTGCCCTCTTTGTAAGTAATTTGGCTCAGTTATAAAATTAATAAAGAACATAATGTAATAAAAAATCACGGCTTCTATAATGTATAAATAAATCTAAGCAAAATGTAAAGATTATATACATCTAGTTCATACTTTAGTCACTATAGCTTGTAGATGACATACGTCTAGTTCCTACTTTAGTCAGTATAGTTTGTAGATGATATACATCTAGTTCCTACTTTAGTTAGTATAGCTTGTAGATGATATACATCTAGTTCCTACTTCAGTCAGTATAGCTAGTAGATGATATACA